CAACAATGAATGAAAGGAATTCCAAAATCTCTGTAGATGTTCATTGAAATGAAAAATAAATTTTAAAAAAAAGAAGCTGCACTACAACCCCAAAAGCATTTTGTTCAGATCCACCACTTGCTCCTCAGGAGAAGGATGGGCAATCTTTTTTTGTGATTTACTGTCTCTGAAAACCCACTACAGGGTCAGCTATGGGGTGGGCTCTGACTCTTGGTACTTAACATAATAAAGCACAGAATGAGTTTTGCTCCCACAGGTAGAAGCCATTCTCTTTCCCAGACTTATAACTCAGGGTCAGGCTGGATAGTCAAATGGCATACTGGGCAGTAAACATTACTGGTTTCAGAAGAGCTTTGTTTAGTCTTCCTTTCCAAATGAATCTGAAAATTGCCTTTTCTGTCTCCTTGAAGAATGACTTTGGAATCTGAATTGGGATTGCATTGAACCTGAAGATTACTTCTGGCCACCCTGTGAACAACAGTCTTGAATCCTGACCTGTTCTGTGCCACCCTCATCTCAATACACTTGAGCCCATTACTGCAGTTACCATGTCAATGTATCTTATTGAGGATTGTCATTTTCACAATATTCAATCTTCCTATCAATGAACGAGGACTATTTTTACATTTAGTTAGGTCTCTTAGTTTCTTGTAGTGTTAAAAACACTTTTGTCTTTGTACAGTTTTGTGTCTCTAGAAAGCCCTGGTGATCTATTTACAAAAATTACCCAGTGATCTCAGCAGAATACTGTCTTATTGAAAAGATAACCCTCCTAGGTCAGAAGGCACTCATGATATAGTGAAGATGGCCCCAGGGCCAGGTGTTATGTTCTCTTTTACATAGATCCCCCGTGAATTGGAACTGATGTAAAAGCAATTAACAAGATCATTTGTAATGTATAATTAACAGTATAATGTATGTACGTTACACATACAACTTTATTATTAAAACAAACTTCACTTAGTATCATTATTACCATTTTATACAGGAAGAAATAGGCTGAGAGACTATGGTGTGCCTGATCCAGGCTATAGTCTTCACAGTTGCATGCTATTCATTGGAGAGCTGCACAATGACTAGGGATGATAGAGAACTGATGCCTTTGAGCTGTGGTGCTGGAGAGGAGTGTTGAATATACCATGGACTGCGAGGAGAACAAACAGGTTTGTCCAGGAGAGGGTGAAGCCAGGCTGTTCCTTGGAGTCAAGGATTCTGAAACTTCATCTTACATACTTTGGGCACGTAGCAAGGAGGGACCAGTCCTTGGAGAAAGGACATCATGTTTGGGAGAGCGGAGAGACAGCGCAGGAGAGGAAGATCCTCGATGAGATGGATCGACTCAGTGATTGGGGTCATGGGAGTAGGTGTGTTGGAGACAGTGAGGTTAGCACAGGATAGAGCAGGGTTTAAGGCCATCATACGTAGGATCACTATGAGTCAAACACAACAACCACCACCCGAGACTTTAATTAAGTGGAAGATCCAGAAAATTAGTTTCTGACTCTAGTTTTAGAGTATACCAATCTTAGTGACAGTTCTAGCTACCGAAGAGACTACTTCTTAATTCCACCAAGAATGCTATACAGTTAGTACTGTTTTAGAGATAAGTTAATTCATAGACAGCATTCCCAAATTATGTGAGACCACGTTTCCACAGCCTTGCCTCCAAAGAGCACAGCACTTTCTCTGAGAATTATGTTTGTTCTCCTGAACTCATGTTCTCCATGAGTTATTCAGGACTCTTCTCCGAGACCACAACTCAAAGGCTTCAATTCTTCTGCCATCCTTAGTCACTGTCTAGCTTTCAGATGCACACAGCAAGTACTTGGAGCATATTGTTACGGACCAGTCCTTGGAGAAGGATGTCATGCTTGGAAAGGTGGAAGAGTAAGACCAACAGAGGAAGACCCGCAGTATGAACTGACAAAGTGACTAAACAGGGGGCTTAGGTATATCAGATATGGTGACGAATGCACAACGTTCAGATCCATTTTTCATAGGATTGCTATGAGTTGCGGTCAATTCTAGGGCACATAACAATTTATGATGCTATGCATCAGAGAGCTGGACAATGACTTGAGGATGACAGAACTGATGCCTTTGAGTTTTGGTGCTAGAGAAGAGTATGAACATACTATGGACTGCCAAGAGAACAAACAGGCCTGTCTTGGAGAGGGTGAAACCAAGTTTCTGTTTTGGAGGCAAGGATTTTGAAACATTTTGTAGACCTTTAGTGCTTAATTCTGAGGACTGGCAGGAAGAGGATGTGCCACACAAAGCTGCCAGAAACTCTTAGAGTTACAATAAGGCTCTCTTGTTCCATCAAGTAACAAACATATAAAGAGGAAGAGAATGAAGTGTCAGGAAGGGAGAAACATGTACACCTTGATTTTTGAAAAATTCTGTAGAACTTAGTCTCCTCAGGCCTCCAACAAAAAAGAGAATTCAATATGGTTCTTGGTATATTATTTTCAACTTGATGGCACCTGACAAAAAACAAATTTTAAATGTAGCAACACACTTTAAAAAAAAAAGAGAAATCTGACTTTATTTTTTTAAGGAAAAGGTCCATGATTATCTTAAATGGCAAAGCCATATCCAATTAGCTGCTATGAGTTTCAGGACCAAGGCTGTCTCACTGCCATTACAGGCGGTACACCAGCTGTGGCTTCGGCTGCTGTCGTCTGATTTGAGTCTTCCAGAAGTGCCGGCCTCAGAGCCTACAGGTAGGCACAAAGCCGCTCCAGTTGCCCGGGATTTGCATTACTTAGAAAGAGTAGCTCCTTTATCCCTTCTTCTGTATGAGCTAAAACAGAGAAAAAGACAGGTATGTGAGAATTTCCTCATGTTGTATTTGTTATCCAGAAAATTCTATAGCCAGAGCCTATATTACTCATAACATTCAGATATAATGTTAATCACATCTCTTTTCCAAGAGATTCTATTTCTAGCAGATCCTTTACATCATTAAACTATTATTTTTTCCTATGCATAATTGCCCGTTTGTCTGTGAGTAAGGCATTTTTTCCTCCTTCTCAAGAGTCTTTTCTGGAGTTTGTCAAAGCTCCCGCTGCCTGGAAATTTTTCCTTTGTTTCCCAACCCACAATGTAACCACAGCTTCTCTCATCTTTTTTTTCTCCTTTAATAACTCACCCTTATAGTTTACTCTCTTGTAACTAGTGATATTTTAAAATTTTCTCATGCTGAAGCCAACTCTTTTAGAAATAATGCCCAACAAAGCTTTCAAATTATACCACTCTCATGGCCAGAGGTAAGGGCCAGGGTAAACATAATAATTGGCATGCTTTTAGTCCTTGCTCTATCTCCCATTATTCATATAATAAGGCAAGGGTTTGGTTTGGTACAGGAATCATGGTACAAATGATTTTGTGGCTATCCTGGCACATCATTCACTTAATCAAAGTTTGTAGAGTGATGATGCATGAACACAACAATGAGAATGGCAGCATCCCAAACCTCCAGAAACTGACAGTAGCTCAACTTGACCTGGCACCTAAGCTAGAATGAACGTTTTATTCAAGACTAAGATGACAATTTAGGGAGAGATGGAATCTCTTTTGTAAATTAAACCCTTTTCCTGCCTGTACCAAGTAATAAGCCAGAAAGAAGTCAGGATAAAGTGAATAAGATGAAATACAAATTAATGGCTGCTTAGGTTAGAAGTAAGAGCTCAAGGCTCTCATTCAGTGGAAATCTTTTATAAGCAAAAAGTCCTAATTAGAAACAAAAACAAAGCTGACCTTTTTCATGCTGAAGCCAACTGTTTTCCAAATAATATTGAATACAGCTTTCAAATTCTTTTGGGTTGTAGTTAGAAACCAGGATAGGAATAAAGGGATCCAGGGCATCAAATCCTTCCTGGGGTGGAAAAGGATGAAATTAGTTTTGGTTAAATGACAAACCAAAAGAAAAAACAATACTTAAGCACTGTTAGAACAAGGATTTTGGAGTTGTTTTGTTTTGCTTAATCTGTACTTTCTAAACTAAAAGACAGCTTGTAAAAACACAAAGTATACAGGCAGTATTACATTGTTATTTTGGGCATAGTGGCTGGTTATTATCACTGTATACAGAACAAGTTATACTCTAAAAAAGGATAATACTTAAGGTGGGAAGATGTCAATTCTAAGAATACAGTACTAAATTGATGTACAATGTTTGTCTTACGCATGCCTTTGATAAAATTTAAATTAGGCAGAGTAAGAAATTATTAACACTAATCAGCAAAAAAATAGTAATAAAAAAGAATAATTACAACAACATACTGAAATAAAGTTTTATGAATTATGGAATGGCAAGTTTGCGATTCCACTTTATATGCTCATTTTTTAAAAAACACACAAATCTTTGATAGACATTTCTCCAAGGAGGCTATAAAAGAAGTCGAAAAACACATGAAAAAATGCTCAAAATCATTAGCCTGCTCTTTGGTCTGGGCCACAGAAGCGAGATGGTGAAGCAAACGTCATAGTTTGGAAAGTGTCACAGTAAGATGCAGATATGGTGCAGCCGCTGTGGCTCCGAGGCCCACCACCTCCAGAAGTCCACCTGTGGCAAGTGTGGCGACTCTGACAAGCGCAAGAGAATGTGCCAAGACTAAAAGGAAAAATACCACAGTACTGGTTGTGTGAGGCCTGGAGTCCGTGAAGGAACAACACCTACACCCAAGAGGGCAGCTATTGCAGCATCCAGTTCATTTTAAAAATGTCAGTGTTTAGTTCTCCGATAAATGTTCTGGTATTAAAAAAAGATACCATTTTACCCCTCACTCCATTAAGATGACTATTAATTTCTTTCCCCATGATTTGAACGTTTACAAAACATACTGATCTTCCACTTAATAGCACACTTTTTAAAAATATAATGACAAAAGTCACAATATAATTACACTTTCCCCACTTCTCCCTGTGATTCTTACTTTATTTTTAAATAAATGTTATTTTTTTTGTGTGTACCGTCAAATCGGATCTGACTAGTACAGGAGAGATTGTCCCTCCTTCTCCAGCAGACCATTTGGTGGATTCTAACCATGCACCTCTGGAATTGCAGTGCAGCTTCTTGCCACTAGACCACCAGAGCTCCCCGTGATTCTTATTTCTATTCATCTTTAGATCCGACTCCTTTCCTGCCTTAAGTGCTTTCTCCTGGGCTAAAAGCTGCTCTTCTGACTTTCAGTGTCTGGCTACCGGAAGGAATGTGTTTCTGGTGAGACTATTTTCCTTACAGTCTTGTCTACTGTTTGGCTGAAAGCTGAGACTTGGGGCAGAGTTTTCTCCAGGTTGGGAGGTTGTCATGTAACATTTTCTGAGAACTCTTTGAATAGTGGTAACTAAAACACAGTGAAACTGGATAAGAGTATACTACTGTACTGGGATTATGTTCTGACCTTTGGAATCAAGTAAATGTTTAATATACTCAAAAATAGAAAAAATGCACATCCATGTTCAAAGTAGTATTAGTCATAATAGCAGAGAGATAAAGGGATAAACCATGGTACATTATGTGCAATGGAATGAATATACACAGTGGGATACTACATGAACTAAGCTACTACAAGAAAAAGTTATACATAGAAACAAACACTCCTTAATATGGTGTCAGGAACGCGAAGGGAGGGGAAGTCACTAAGTAGTTAAGACACACTGTAAGTTGGGTAATATGTAAAATTAGAATAATGATCATAAAGTATTATGAAGGAAAAGTAGGGCAGAAGTACACAAGAGTTCTAAAGATAAATGCTATTACATACAAAATGTGGCAGTTATCAGTAACCCTCATTCATTGCCATCTAGTCAGTTGTGAGAGTCATAGACCCTTTATCTGGCGGCTTAGTGGTAAGCAGCTAGTGTCAACGTAAAGGCCTGCAGTTGAAATCCAGCAGCTGCTGGAGAAAGATGGTCTTCTTCTATGTAATCTGCATCCCTGGAAAATCCGCTGGAGGGTCAGCTATGAGCACATGACAACAGCACAGGGTAATGAATTATACAGATAGGCAGCACTCCCTGAACAGTTAATTATGTAAGATTACATATGCCCAGAGATAAAGCTCAGAAAGTGGGAGGGGTAGGAAGGACGGACAATGGAAACCTGGCTTGGGGTGGGTGGGATGACAGAGTGGAAAGAAAGCTGTCATAATGTAAGGATGGTAGTCATTGTCACAAAGTATGAGGTGTGTGAACTGCTGAGTAAAAGGTCAGTCTGCTCTGCAAACTTTGATTCAATTAACAAACAGTTAAAAATGCCCAAAGAAGTCAAGGAAGTAAGGAAAGACTCTAAATTAAATAAACTGAAACAAATCAGTCTATTTTTCCAATTTCAATGACAACACTGATAAAGAGGAGGTAACCCAGGTTAACTCCTAAACACAGTATTTAGACTATTAATAGGCTAAAGACAAAAATTATCCTAAGCAAATTATCAAATTCTGATGATGTGTAGCCTCCCCTCCATAGTTGTTGTTGTTGTTATGTGCTGTCAAGTCGCTTGCGACTCACAGTGACCCTATGTACAACCCTAAACTCTGCTCTGTCCTGTGCCAGCCAGTCACACCATATCTGACACTCCCATCCCCATTATCCCAGTCACTGAATCAATCCACCTCATAGAAGGCCTTCCCCTCCTGTGCTGTCCCTCCACCCTCCCAAGCATGATGTCCTTCTCCAAGGACCGATCTCTCCTCACAACATGTCCAAAGTATGTTAGACGGAGCCTCAGAATCCTTGCCTCCAATGAGCCACCCGGTTTAACCCTTTCCAGGACAAATCTGTTTCTTTTCCTAGCAGTCCATGGTACTCTCAATACTTTTCTCCAGCACCACACCTCAAAGGCATCAATTCTCCTTGGTCATTGTCCAACTCTCTGATGCATAACAAGTGACTGCGAAGACCATGGTCTCTATCAGATACACCTTAGTCTCCAGAGAAATACCATTGCTCTTCTGTACTCTGGAGAGGTCCCTAACAGCAGACTTTCCCATGGCAATGCGCCTTTTAATTTCCTGGCTACTGGTGCCAAGAGTGTTGACTGTGGAGCCAAGCAAACTAAAGCTGTGAACAATCTCAATCTCTTCACCATCCATCCTGATGCTTCCAATTGGCCCAGTCGTGAGAATCTTTGTCTTCTTGACATTGAGCCTCAATCCATATTGGAGGCTGCAGTCCTTGATGCTCTGCAGCAAGAGCTTCAGGTCCTCCTCAGTTTCAGCAAGCAGGGTTGTGTCCTCTGCATAACACAGGTTGTTGACAGATCGTCCCCCAATCTTGACCCCACATTTCTCCTCATAGATCCCAGCCTCCCGGATAATCTGTTCTGCATACAGGTTGAAAAGGTATGGAGATAGGACGCATCCCTGGCATATGCCTTTCCCAGTTTTGAACCATGCAGTGTTCCCTTGCTCTGTTCTGATGACTGTCTCCTGGTCCAAGTATAGGTTTCACATTAGAATGATCAGGTGTTCTGGGATTCCCATTCTTCTCAGAGTCAGCCACAATTTGTTATGATCCACACAGACAGACGCCTTTGCATAGTCAATGAAACACAGATAGACATTCTTCTGGTATTCTCTGCTTTCGGCTAAGACCCATCTAACATCAGCTACAATATCCCTAGTACCACGTCCCCTTCTAAACCCAGCCTGGACTTCTGTTGATGTGCTGTTCCAGTCATTTTTGGATAATCTTCAGTAGAATCTTGCTTGTATGTGAAATCAATGAGATTGTTCTAGAGTTTCCATACTGTTTGCTGTTCCAGTCATTTTTGGATAATCTTCAGTAGAATCTTGCTTGTATGTGAAATCAATGAGATTGTTCTAGAGTTTCCATACTGTTAAGTGTGAGCAATTCTGAAATGTGAGGATTACAGAATTGTAGAAGATAACAATTCTGTATTCTAAGATCAAACAAATAATTATATAATGACAGTGGACTTTTCATTGTTGGAATGGGAGTTATAAATATAAAAAATAACAAATGTAGTGCTGGACTGGAATTGTTCACAGGGTCACTAAGAATCATACTTGATGGCACCTAGCAACAGCATGAAGTCACAGTTTTTTACTAAGAGAACCATACAGGCTGTATAGAGAGAAGTATGTTGTATATGCTTCAAGTCAGACCAACTCATAGCTGATCTTCTAGCAGGTTTTTAGAGACTGTAAATTAAACAGGAGGAGACTGACAATTTTCCTCCTGAAGAGCAGCTGGTGAATTCAAGCTGTGAGCCTTTTGAGTTGGTAGCACAGCGCTTTACCACTAAGCCACCAGGTAGGCATATGTATATATAAAGGCACGTTATTTACATATACATATATGCATATGCATATAAATATTAGTTCTGCTGAGAGGACATTAAAGCAATAGAATCAGAGTGATAATGAGTACATCTAATATCCAGCTTTTGGTTTCTAAATACCATTCTCTTCTGATTGCTTGGCTCTTTGGACTAATGGCTATTTTTAAGTCTGGGGTTTGAAAAGTAGATGATGAATCTGGAACATATTCTTGTGTCAGAAAGTAAAGATGTGCTCAAAGAATAATGGACACAGCAAAAGGATACAGGAACCATCCTGAGGATTCTTGCTGGCTAAGTCACAGTTAACTAAGCATCAACATTTATGATACTAAGATCTAGGATACACTAAATAATTGTGCACAAGTCAACACCTATTGATACACATACATGAATTGTTCTACTTATAGTAGAAATCCATCTGATACATACAGGAGAAATGAGGGAGCTAAATAATTTCCATTTGGTAATCATCACAGCACTAACAAATTTAGGAAGAATCACTTAAATCTAGAAATGGATGCTAAAACTAACAGGTTCAAGTTTGAAAAAATAAAATGCTTTTATCTTGCTTGTCTCAAAGAACACTAATATTGAATTTAGTATATACTAATTAGAGAGGAGCTCTGCTGGCCTAGTGGCAAGAAACCTCTGCAATCCCGAAAGCATGCTGTTGAGATCCACAAGCCGATCCACATGGGAGAAAGATGGGCAATCTCCTCCCATGTGATGAACTGCCTCTGAAAACCCACTGGAGGGTCAACTATGGGTTGGTTCTGACGCTACGGTACCCAACAACAACAACTAGATACCAGTTTCAAAGACAGAATAATAACTGTACTGAGGAGAAACCAGGTGGAGACTACGTTAGCTAAATTTTCAAAGTTAGTATCAGTAATAAAGACTTGCTGTACCTTCCGATTGGATACACTGAAAAGACATATGTACTATGGTGATGTTCCTTCTTAAAGTGATTATACAAAATCTAATTGGGAGGATTTAAAGTGGGGCTTAAAATCTGTAATCACCTTCAAAAATATCAGTATTATAAAAGACAGTGATTGATGAATTATCTCAGACTGCAGAAGAGTAAACTCTCTAGAAAACCAAATATACCACATAACCTCAGACTTTCTTTTCCTTCCATAAATGATATTGGAATAATTGGCAAAGTTAGAATAAATTCAGTGGATTAGGTAAAAGTAACATATCAATTTCATGATTTTTATCACTGTGCTGCAGTCATAGAAAAGGGTCCTTATTTTTGGAAAATACTTTAATTTAGAGAGATAAAGGGGCACTGTGCTTGCAAGTTCTTGGCATAATTCAGAAAAAAAAAAAGAGGCATACAGACCGAGAGAAGAGAGAAAGGAGAAGGGAGAGAGAGCAGGGTAGGGAGAAAATACAGAGAACAGGAGAAGAAAACAGGTGGAAAAAGAGCAAGGATGAAAGGTGGAGGAGTAAAAGGTAACACAACTATGATAAAATGTTAACATTCTGCACGGATAAAGTGATAGAGGGAAAAAATTTCCCTCAAGTATGAAATTACATCAAAATAAACATATATAATGGAAAAGGGACCTCTCTTTAAACAGTAAGGAGAATAAAATTTTCCAATGTTTTGACCTTTCCAAGCAACTCCTGGGGTAGGTATGCTGACCGGGGCTTAAAGAGTGAACCAGTTTGGCTCAAAGTCAACACAATGGCGCCTCCATACTGCGGGGGGAAAAAAGGAAAAAAGTTGAATTAGAAAATGCTGGCGAAATACAGAGAATAATAAATAATCTGTGAGGTTCTGGTCATACAGTGTCATGTCTAGCATAGTTAAATGGCAAGGAAAGTTTCTGGTACTATCTAGTTCTGTATTTGGCTTTGACAGTAACTTGCTATTATCACCTGAATTTTATCAAGACAAGTTTCTAGGTCTTAAAAATTTTTTCCAAAGATGGTGAGAAGATATAAAAAACCCACTTTTAACAACTACAAACAAGTAAAATGAGGACAATACGGAAATAAAATGGCTTTTAATTAAGCTTACTCCAGCTCCATGTGAAGATGAGAAAACAAATATACAGACTTTGATTCAGATAGGACTTACTCCTTGATTTAGAGGATATAGCTTGATAAAGAGAGCTTTACTTAAATCACATTGAAGGCTTATTCAGTAAGTTATGGCATAAGAACTTTCTGCTCATAAAATTACAGAGAAAATGAAATTGTAAAATGTCTTTTAAAAACACATTTTCTTACCCAATTATTTTTCACCATTTTCCTCAGATTGTAAATAAGTGCTAGTTCCTCTGGAGCAATCTGCACATTGATCAAGGAGAGAGAAAGGTATCAATATTTGCTATTCTTGGAGCTCAACAAACAAATGAAAAAAAAAAAAATCCCTCAAAACCAAAACAAAAACCCCTCAACTTCAACCACGTAGTAACTATAGTACCTGTAGTTAAATCCTCTGACATAAGCAGTTTCCTACTTCTAGAATGGAAGGAATGAAGAGAGGACAAGAAAGGGTACAAAATAGGCAAAGAACCAGAGATGCAACACCCCTTCCTTTCTACATAGCTACTTAACCCAGAACCTCCATAAAGACAACAGTCACCATGGAAGAAAACCAGGTCCTAAGCCACCTGTTTCAGACTACATAGCCTCATTTTGAAAACAGAACAAGTAAAAGAACCCCCCTGCCCCAACAAACACAACCTCACAACACAGCTTTTGTTGACATCTCTTTTTTCAAAACGTGATCCTTCAGTTTTCAGTGGTAGGTGGAGCGTTTGCATTCACATATTCTCAGGGTAAGAAAACATACTTCACGGCCTATAAAGCTATGTCCCAGTCTCTGCAAATGACAGTGCCAGAAAATGAAATAGAGGCACTCAGTTTTCCTACCGGGCTTTTATCTTGTCTCTTCAGTGTGGTCCTCCCCCAAAGAGCATTGACTCCATCCACTGCCACCAGAAGGCGAAATACACCTGAAGAGCTCTGCTTCCTTAGCTCTTTCAGAATTATCCCAACAGCATCTGTAGCATTCCTCACCCGTGTAATGCCCTGTGGAGAAACAAGAGAAAGACAAAATAGCTTGTTAGTCCTATCGGAAGGTTTCTCAGGGTATGACAGATGCACATTCAGTAGCTTCCTTTACCTGTTCAACCACTTCCCCCAGAGGACTGCCTTTCTCTGTGCTTTCTCGCTTGTTCCAGACATACTTCTCTTGAACTTTTATCTAAAAACAACAAACAAAAACACTCATCCTTAGTTGACACAACTGGGATAAGATAATTAGGAGTCAGTTTTAATCTATTTTCCTTTCAGGTGTTGTAATTTTAGTATCAAAACACCCAGTTTCTAGCCTTTTACTGCCTTGAACTTTTAAAAACTCTTATCTGGTGAAAATTATGTAGTTGACAATAGATCTGTGGGGAATTTGAGGTTGTGAGCTTGGAAAAGTCAAACAATCAATGTAATATGGATAATTTCCTCTGAAGAAAATTTGAAATACGAAATGGTACAGTTATTCTATCTGTGCTACCTACCTACCAGGCACTCGTGGCACAGGTAGGCAGTATCTTTATGACTGCTCGCTACCAAACTTCTGGAAGTCTAGTCACCTGGCTCAGGAAGCGTTCATTTGAAGTTTTGAAGTTCTTTAGCCAGGCTGAAGCATCTAAAGGTTGATCTAAACGCTGTTTGTTGTATGAAGACTGCAGAAGATCATGACAATTTTTCACCCAACGATGAGCTAAAAAAAAAGGCGTAAGAAAATGAAATAGGCAAGAATTGACTGCATTCAACCCAAAATACTTTATACCTTTCTCTATTATGGGACATGGCTTTCCTTTTCCATAAGTATTTAAGGTATTATTGCTAATGAATGGGATGTGTGCCCAGTGCATCTTAAGAGTTTATGATATCATTACAATTAATACAAAAGGAATACCAAGTGAATTAAATATGATTCCTTCTTTCTGCTGATTAAGTCAGAAGACATGGACATGGACACACACAATACTAAACAAATAAGGGATATATTCAAAGTGTGAACAGGAAATTTTTTAAAATCCATGTTCACAAGCCCAGAATTATCTGAGGCCTTCTAAGGCAGTTCCTACTCATAAGCATTAGACAGCAAAGAAAGGACTGCTGGATCCAAACACTTCCTTCTTGGTGTCAAAAGGCTACAGGGAGTTTTAGTAGATTTCATGTCGTAACTTTATCTTGCAACGCTGCTTGCTGTTGTTGTTTAGTGCTGTCAAGTCACTTGTGAGTCATAGCAATCCTACGTGCAACAGCTCTGAACTCTGCTCTATCTTGTGCCAACCTCATCATCTCCGATACACTTACCCCCATTATCCCAGTCACTAAATCAATCCATTTCAACCAGGATAGGATCATGAAAAAATGATGAAAACTACCTTAGACCACTCTGTACTTGGAGCAAAGCTTTTCCCTCCCCCCTGAGATGCCTGTGAGAAAATGAAAGGTACAGGGTCACCTAAATATCAAGATTATGAAGACTGACGTAATGAAGATGGAATTTTTTTACCATCTGGAATATGCAGTATCAGCCAATCCTGTTTAGCACAAAAATGAAGAACATGGCAAAGACTGAGGGTTTTTCCTGTTCCTTTTTCACCATCTAAAGCACTTGTAGTTAAAGAAAACATCATACCTTTGTAAAACATTGTAATTAAAGGATACATCTGCAATTCTCTCTTTTCTCTAATTTGCATGGGTAGGTCCCATCCCCCCTAACCTCTCAGGGTTGTGGAACGCAGGAAAGGATACAGAGAACATATCGTACAGCTGGATGTGCAAAGTTGGTGTTTTTCAGGTAATGCAGAAGCTCTAGGGCTGGTTTCCTTACCATCAAGGAAGCGTCATTGAATGTCTTCACCTAACAAAACAGGAAAGGAGCATGGGGCTCTTTTTGCTGTATGCATTGAGAAAACAAGGAAACCAAATTGCATGTCTTTATTTGGCTGGGAAAGGACAGACTGAATTTTAAAATCTAGCTCAGGTAATAAAGCAGAAAGTACAACACATTACCCCACACTAAGTAACAAAATAGCTAGCTTTTGAGTATTGCTATTATTGAAGCAAAGATACCACAGAAATCTATAAATAATCCAAACATAACTAGATAGTTACTTTGTGGATCATTTAGGGTTGATACAAATAGGAAAACATTTAGCTAAGCTTCTGACACATGTTATTTAATAAATGTTAATTCTCTAGTTAATTCTTATTATTCTAATCATGTAAACTTTTCTAGATAGAACTATATACAGTACAGGGCAGCTCAGGAGCAGATGTGGCCAACTCTCCACAATTTTAAGGCCTTATGTGACATAATCAGCATACTTATGTGTTTATGTATTTATGATCTTTTTGCCATAAGTAATACTCTGATGAAAAATTTTGGGAAGCATTGGGATACAGAAAAGTGATTTGCAAAGAAAGTAATTATGTCAACGAATAACAAGAAATATCTACACAAATATTAGGAAGCGCTGGTGGCACAGTCCATACGGAGCTGAGCTGCTAACCCAAAGGTTGCACTCTTTGGCAGTTCAAATCTTCCAGCAGCTCCATGGGAGAAGCATGGGCAGTCTGTAGGATCAGAAACTCAATGGAGGGTCAGCCCTAAGTTGTTTATATGACAGTAATATGAGAAAGAGATACAAATATTTGCAAGTATAAGTGTAAAAAAGAAAAGTGTCCTCTGTTTTAAAGGCCTCTTAACAAACCAACTGGGTTGGAGAAGGAATGAGAGTTAGGACAAACTTAATGGAAAGTGAAACCTTCAAAAATATGACATAGATATGAAAACAAAAATTCCTTTACTGGGTATAACAGAACTGAAACACACAAACAGTGGTGGTGAGCTGGCCTTCATTTAAATGAAAATGACAGAAATAATGGATGAGTCATTCCCTCCAGAGTACTGGAGGTTAAGCCAGTCTGAATGCAACCTGAGTAGTTAATTAAAAATAGGAGCAGAGGAGTCTGGCTCCGGGCTAAAAGTCTACTTGCAATTCTCCAAGTCTGAACACAATTACAAAGGCTTTATCTGGCATGCCTTAAGGGAGCGCTGCCTTCTTCACTAGAATTGTGCACAGCTGATGCACTGCATTCACTGAGCCTCAGCTCAACCAAGCACTCGACCTTCACATGCCGTATGTCTTACACAGTTCATTGCCCACAATGGTCAACAGGTTTACCAAAAATTTTACTTGATTTGCTTCTGGTTATTTGGTCTGAGGAAACGTTGAGAGGGGAAAGAGGTGCAGAACTGTGGAAAAGGAAGTCTAAGCATGTCATCCCACTTTCACTATCTTGATAAAGATCAGATGTTGGCTTGGCTTCTCAGAGGGAATAAAAATCTAGGCTGATCCCCTTTTTCCAGGGGGACATGACCCAGAACACATCCCACAGAAGCTGCTGACATAATAGTACACTACTCATGTGACACTTGCCTTGTCAACATTTCCAGGAAGTGCTTATGCTTGTGTGTCTCACCACTGTTGTTAGGGGTCATCAAGTCAGGTATGATTCCCAGTGACCTTATGAACGAACAGCAGCTCTGAACCCTGCCCTGTCCTGCACTGTTCTCATTATTTCAGACCTGTACAAACCTACAGCAGCAATGACTATCAATCCATCTGGCTCAGAGTCTTCACTCTTTTGTGGACCTTCAGCCTTTCCAAGCATGATGTCCCTCCCTTCTCTCTGTGTGTCATAGAGCATCTGGTTAAAAGCTATCTATTTCTATGTCTGTTTATAGAGAAGAGAGAACAGAGTTCTTCAAATTCAGCATGAAAGGGGTGAGTGCAGACTAGCAGCCCTCCATAAGTTGCAAGGAGTGACCTGTCTTGAGGGACTGTTATTTCTCTATGCAAGTAAAACACTATTCCAACTGTTGTTGTATACCACTGAGTTAGAAATGACCCATAGCTGACCCTCCAGAAGGTTTTCAGAGGCAGTTAACAAACATGAGAGGAGACTGCCCATCTTTCTCCCACAGAGCAGCTAGCGGATTTGAACCGTGTGCCTTGGGGACTGTGCAGCTTCTTACCAATAAGCCACCAGAGCTCCCATTCCTATTACTCTGTGCAAGTTATTTCTTTCTTGGCAATTCTGGACTGTAGATTGAGAACAAACCATCACAATGCTGAAGTTCAACTCTACTGTGAATGTCCTAAAACAATTTAAGATGACATTACAAATTATACCATCTGTTTTTGAGTCCTAATTCTAATCTTAACAAAATATTTAATGACAAGAGTCTGTTGTTAGTTCCTTTACTATGATCTCACTGATTTCCTGAAATAAAACATACAATCACCTGCATAAATCACTTTTGATATTTCATTAAGTACAGATAACTTCTGAGGGTTAAAATAATTAAGCCGCAACTAGTGAAAAGAACCAATTATGACAATATGCTTGTTATTTAATCACAAAATCTTTAAATGGCTACAAAATTAATCGACTACATTCTCTGTGCCACAACACTACATGAAAATCTGTGAAAAATAAACAATGAATGTATGTAATTACAAACATCATCTCTATTTGGCTCAAGAATGTGCTGATTTTCTTCTCTTGCAGCATATTAACAAGTTCTATATTTCACTAAAGCAAACAGTAAATTACTCATGAATATGAACATTTTAAAATATCTCCTGGTTAGCTCAAGAAAAGGTAGATCTTATTTAAGAATATTTGACCTGATACCAAAAAAAACCCCAAAACCTAAAACAACAAAACAAAAATCAAAACCAAACTTAAGATGGACAACAGAAGAGGAACATTAGTTTAAGGCTACTACAGTAATTATTAGGAACACTACCTACTTAATCGATTTAAATTTCATCTTCCATAATTCTACTTATTGTATATTACCCCTCTTGTGTGCTGCCCTAATTGCCCTGGTACCAAGTCCCTTCCCTATTTCAAGCACCTGCATTGAAAAGCGATGAGGCAGGCCATGTGGAAATACAGTCTTCAAATCCTGGAAGGAAATGCTGTAGTGTTGACCCTCGTGCTGTTCTCCATGCTTGGCCTATGAATTAAAAAGGTAAAAACATCTTAATGGGGAAAGAGACAGTGATAAAAACTTTGGAAAAGTTGATGGAGCTGGAAAATAGATTTTTTTAAAAAGTATTTTTCATCTCTTATTATAAACAAGCAAACAAAATCAGTTGTTGTCCTCATGTCAACACAGTGTATGTGAAGCTGGTGGGGGCTTGTGTGATGAAGCCAGCTGCTCAGCAACATAAACTCATAATGGTGGGAGTGCTAGAGATAATTCTTGCCATCTGGATTCTTCTATGCTGTGTACAGAGATGCTCTAGTCATGTGACATACTGTTGTTTCCATAGAAACCCCCGAGGAATTGACAGATAAAGGGTCCACAATTACATAGGAAGCTGAAAGGCACTTCAATGACTTCATTCATTTATTCTATTCCATTTTGTTTGTAAAAGTAGGTGAACATTAGAGACATAAATGAAATAGACTCTGCTTCGATGGGATTGGGGCAATGAGATTATTTTTGCCCTTCTGCACAGCTCATGTTAAGAGTACAGACCAGGACAAAAAAAAGCTGTTGGTTGCCTTCACATTTTAGCACAGACCATATTAACTAATGTCTTTTATGGAAGGCATCAGAAATGCTGGGGAATGAGAAAAGAAAGCAATATCTAGCCTAATAGACCCTGAACTAGAATATACAACACTAAATCCTGGCTTCTACTAACCAACATCACTTGAAGATATACTGTTTTTCATATAACACATCAAGGCAATTATTCCCTTGACAGACACACAGAAAGGTGGGAAACGGTACCAGACTGGTTATTAGGAAATTGGGGTCTTTATCTGCCTTACTATGTGGATCCTGGACAAGTACATGCTATTTCTCTAGGATTCTCCACACTAGTGGTTGGTAAATGATGGCCCTTCTCCAACACCACAGCTCAAAGGGCAGTTTTCTTCTATCATCCCTATTCACTGTCCAATTCTCAGATGCATAGCAAGTGATGGGGGAAACCATGACCTGAATCAGATGCACCTTAGTCCTCACACTGACATCTCTACTCCTTAATAATTTAAAGAGATCCCTAACTGCAGATCTTCCCAGTGCAATGTATCTCTTTATTTCCTAACTTCTGGTACCAAGGGTGTTAACTGTGGATCCAAGTAAGATGACGTTGTTGACAGTTCCACTCTCTTCTCCAGCCACCATGATGTTGCCTAATTAGCCCAGTGGTAAGAATCTTTGTTTTCTTAACACTGAGATGCAATCCATATTGAAGGCTGCATTCCTTGATCTTCTGCAACAAGTACTTTACGTCCTCCTCATTTTCATCAAGCAAGGTTGTGTCATCTGCATAACACAGGTTATTGATGTGTCTCTCTCCAATCCTGATGCCATATTCCTCTTAATAGAGTCCAGCTTCTTAAATGTCGCATGGATTTAATATCCCATGGAGTGACCAAAAAAAAAAGCCCACCAAAACATATTTTGGAAAGGGTATAGCCAGAGTGTTCTTTGGAGGCAAAGAAGATGAGGCTTTCCCTCACCTACTTCAGGCATGTTGGTAGGCAGGGCTATTCTTTGGTGAGGGACATGATGCTTGGAAGGGTGAAGAGTCAGCAAAGAAGAAGACCCTTGACCAGCTGGACCGATAGGGTGACTGCTGCAATGGGCTCTCGTGGGTCAGGGAAGTATGAAGATGACACAGGATAGGACGGGGTTCAGATCTGCTGTTCATAGGGTCATTATGGGTTGTACTCGATTTGCTGGCACCTAACAACAACAAATGATGGACAGTAACTCATTTTTGTAAATAAAATTTTACTGGCATATAGTCATGCTGATTTGTTTATGGCAGAGTTGAATAGTTCCATCAGAAGCTGTTATGGCCCAGAGGCCTAAAATATTTATTATCTATGGGGAGCTCTGGTGGCCTAGTGGCAAGGAGCTGCAACTACAATCCCAGAGGCGCACGGTTCGAATCCACCAGATGCTCTGATGGGGAAGGAGGGACAATCTCCTCCTGTACCAGTCAGATCTGATTTGACGGTACACACACACAAAAATTAAAAAAAAAAAAAAAAATATTATCTGTTTTTTTCATTAACTTATCATGAAAATACAAATATATATATATACAAACCAGCAAAGTTGAAGACAAAGAGATTGAATTCCACTAACTTTTGCATATTCACACAATTTGAAAAACAAATCAACAGAAAAAATGTTGTTGATTTGGAAAACAAATGTAAGCCTCTATTTGAATTAAAAAACCATCTCAAGAGGAAATATGAATCATTGAACATTAATGAATGAAAGCCAGATGAGTTTGGGATGACATCAAGGATATCATCCAGGAAAACAGCAAACGCATATAGACAAGTTAGAAAGAAAAGACCAAGAATGGATGTCAGACAAAACTATAAATATTGCACTAGAATATAGAGGTACCAAAATAAAGAGAATAAATGATGTGGTAAGAGCAATAATTTAAAACCAAAGATTTAAAAGGACAGCCTGAAAAGACAAAGCAGTACAGCCTCACTGTACCAAAATAATTGATCAAAATACTACTTAACTTGGGAAAGACTGGAGAGAATGATGCTGAATTAACTAACTCAATCTTAAAAGGACAAATTCTGCATAATAAGCATTATTGTAAAAATAGAAGGATAACTAGTTAAAACATGTATGGAGTCCCAAGGGAGGAATGGGTAGGAGCTGAGAGTTTAGGATGTGTAGGGGTAAAATCACAGGGTTGCACAATTATGGAGTAAAGTAAATGGGAAAGATCTGGTGGGCACATGAAAAGATAGAGTAAGGATGGGCATAGTCCAATGGTGATTAATTTTATAAAAAATAATGCATGGGCAAGCAACAAATGCTGGCGAGGTTGTGGAGAAAACTGGAATCCTTATTCACTGTTGGTGGAAGTGTAAAATGGTGCAACCACTGGAAAGTGGTGTGGCGCTTTCGCAAAAAGTTGCAAATAGAGATTCCTTTTGACCCAGCAATTCCAATACTGGGAATATACTCTAAAGAGACCAAAACCAACATCCAAGCAGATATATGCACACCCATGTTTATTACGGCTTTGCTCACAACAGCAAGGAGTTGGAAACAACCCAGATGCCCATCAACAAACAAATGGATGGAGAAGCTGTGGTATATTCACAAAATGGAATATTACACTGCATTGAAAAATAAGGAACTCATGCAATATTATTCAAAATGGGTGACCCTGGAGGACATTATGCTGAGTAAAATATCTCAGTCACAAAAGGACAAATATTGCATGGTGCCACTGTTATAGAAAGTGACTGACAGCAGGGTTGCAGTAAGACTGAGAAAAACTGGATAGATTATGTATACTGAACTGAAACAGATAAGGAAGAGAACAGTTTAAAAGTGATACATGATAACATATTGTGATTATCACAGGAATCTAGAATTAAGGTTGCATAGTGGAGTGCATTTGGGGCAGGATCGGAGTGGGGGGGGTGGGGAAATTGTGTACCAACGAAGAAGTTTATCTTTTGCTTTTCAAAGAGAGGTGCGAAAGGGGGGGGTGTAAAGAAAAAAGTGCAACAATGAATGAATGAAAATCTAAAATCTATGTAAATGTTCATTAAAATGAATTAAAAAAAAAAGAAAAACAAGGAACTCATGCAATATTATTCAAAATGGGTGACCCTGGAGGACATTATGTTGAGTGAAATAGCTTAGTCATAAAAGGACAAATAATGCACGGTGCCACTGTTGTAGAATGGGAGTGACATCAGGGTTGGAGTAAGACTGAGAAAAACTGGATAAATTTTGTATAATACATTGAAAGAGATGAGGGGGAAAATAATTTAAAAGCAATATATGATAGGGTATTATGGTTATCGCAAGAGTACAGAATTAAGATTGCATAGTGGA